GTTGTAGCTGTGTTGGTCTGATGTAGGCAGGCAAGGTTCTTTGAGTAGATGTGGGATCTTTTATTAAACCAACTGAGTAGCTGGAAAAAGTTCTTGGGAAGCTTTCAGGTGCACTCACCCTTCTTCAGGCATAGGGAGTCTCTGCTGTTCTGAGACTCCAAGAAATGAGAGAAGCTAAAAGTGTGGCAGGACGTCAGTGACAATGTAAAGAGGTAGAAATATGTAGAATTTTGCAGGACAGAATGCCAAGCTGTCTTCACATGTCTTTTGCTAGAGTTTCAAAACAATACATAATATATATCAACATACTTAAAAAGTGTAGATGCTATAAAAAAGATACTGTATTTAGTAGAATCCAAGATGAGGCTCCCTCCCCAATTCAACCTGGGGGAAAAATCCCTTCACCTTGGATTTGAGTACAAATTGGGGGTGGGGGGAAAGGGGCCAGACAGGTAACTGTGGTGGATCTGACTCCATGCTTCTTCACTGCCCTCAGGTTTTAAGCTGAAATTGCTGCCCTCCATATCCACCTACCTCCCCTCTGCTTCTGCTTATCCTCTGTCAAAGCTGCAGCCTCACTCTAGTTCAGGGCATGAAATACATGGTTGCTCTGGCTCTCACCCAGCTGTGCAACACGTGGGCAGTGGTGGCAGCTTCAGCTTCAGCTCCAGGCTGGGGCTGGGGTCAGGGCTTGTGCCAGGGTTGGTGCTAGAGCAGGGGCAGGCAATTATTTTGGGCAGAAGGCCGCTTACTGAGTTTTGACAAGCCATTGAGGGCCGCATGACAGGCAGCCTGGGGCAGATTAATATTAATTTTCTAATTTTTTTAGGGGCCCCTCAGGCCAGATAGAATGTCTTGCCAGGCTGTATCTGGCCTGTGGGCTGCATTTTGCCCACCCCTGTGCTAGAGCTACCACCATCAACTGTTGCTGCCTAGCCAGGCAGGACTGAAGGCACCATGTGCTCTGTAACCCCCTGGCAAAAGTGGGGCCAGAATCAGAGCTGCAATGAAGGGTAAGCAAGAACTAGGGGACAAGCAGCAAGGGGAGGAGGCAATAGGTACATCTGGGGATAGGCACTTCGTGGGGTGGAGAAATCAAGCAGGAGAGGGGGAAAGTGGTAGGGTTGCAGGCACCATGGAGTACAGGTACTGTGGGGAAGGAAGGTGCAAGGTGGCAAAGTACAGGGGTGGGGGTACAGACACCACAGGGAGGGGCAAGCAGTGGAGGGGCAGGTGACAGGGGGTGCAGGCACTGGAAAAAGAGCAGGTAGCATGGGGGAGCAGGTGGCAGTGGGAACTCTGACTCCCGCACTGCCTGGGCCCCTGCTACTACTTGTCTTGCTGCAGCAGTGGAGGTACAGGAGTGGAGGGAAGGAAGAGGTAAAAAAGCAAGCAGATTCTCCAATAATTAGATTTCTATACATGGAAAATTATAACCAGTGTATACATTTGCCAAATATATCATCTAATTATCAGGAAGAAGAATCGTATTAAATTTGAACTTGCCTCAGATTCAAGTAAAGCTGGTATATTAAAAAAGCAGAGGTTATGAGCATAAATTCATTAAAGGCTAGTCCCTTTGTCTACTTCAGCAAGAAAGATGCAAAGTTAGTTCTGTCGACTGAATACTACTAATCTTGTTGGTGACAAGATACCACAAATAAGACCAGGCTAAAAGGTGAAAATGAGGTCAAATTTAAGATTCAGCTTCAATAAAGCCAATCTCTTGAGGGACTGGGGTATCCGATTACATCGTTTATTCCAGATCTTTGAATAAGTCTTCTGACTAGTATGTTTTGTATGGAAAGGAGTTAAAAACCATCAACATACTTCAGTCTGATCAGGTTTTGTTTTGGAAGCATGTGCCCACTGAGCTAACAGCAGCATACAGCCTTCTAAATGTATTAACAACTAAAAATGATGTTGTATCTTTAGGGACAAGGAACTGATTAAATCAAACTGATTAAATCTAAAGCTCCACAGTGCCCTATCAACCTATATTAGCTGCAGTCCAGTAACAATATATAATACAAAAGAAAAAACACAGTGCTGATATTATAGAATATAGTAATCGTGAAAGCAACTTTCAAAATGTCAATAATTATTCTCATTTTGAAATAAAGGTCAGCAGAGTACCTTTGTAGCACTGACACTGAGTAGGAGTTGGAAAGTAAAGATTGAGTTTCATGTCTGCAAGTTAACTTAAATAACAAATGGCCCCAGTTTGTCTGTTCATTTAGGCTCTTGTTAGTTTTCCCATAATTGTGAGATCAGTAGTCAAATAGAACAGAAGATTCATCACTGATAGAATCTTTGTCCAAGATTTACAATCCTTTAATTTGTGTGCTTTGAGGTCTTGGGGGCATTTTTCAGTAGCTTTTCTTTATCCTGTAGGGATTTGTGTATCTTTAACCAAGGACTATGTTAATCCTTACATTAAATGAAAACAGAAAGGTAGCCTTCACTAGTTGTTAAATTAGAATTAAAAACTAAATTGCTTCCTAAAAACAGAGAAAGATCAGAGAAATGTAAAAAAAATAACACTGGAAACTGCATGAGATGAGAGATAGCTCTGGAATGAATTAAAAACTAATTCTTTCCAGAAAAATTAATGCTTGATTATTAGTATTTCAGTGCGTCTCAAAAATGACAATTCACAAAAAAAGTGAATACATGCATACCCAGGACAGCATATAATCTTTAACTGACAAACTATATGAGAATGTTATAAACAAGGATCCAGGTTTTCCATTTCCCATGGAAAAATGGAGGAAAATGTGGATTTTCCCCATTACCCAAGGAAAATGTGGATTTTCTCATTTCAAGTGGAGAAACCTGTGAATTTTGCAGTTTTGCAAAGAGCTCTCAGTAGGCTGGCAGAGTTCCAGCCTGTAAGGGGCTGGGGGGGGAGTGGGAGGAGGACGGTCAAGCAGGGGGGAGCCATGTGCATGCTACAATGTGTGACAGCAGATCCCCACTGGGCAGGATGGGGACACAGGTAGCGCTGCTGGCAGGCAGGGGGGGCCCATGCCCCCCAGATCTGTGTGCGGGGTGGGCACAGGCTGCCCACTGTGGGCTTGACTTTCTGCTCTGTTGCCCTCCCCCAGGGCCACCTCAGCCCAGCAGGTGCAACTCAGCACTGCAGGACACAGTGGAGCCACACGGGGAAGCTGCTTGTTGCTATGAGCTCTGCGCTGCCCTGGCAAGGTGTTCCCTGCCTGTGTGGTAGCAGTGAGAGGCACAACCCCTTGCCACCACCCCTGCTGCTGCCATGCGGGCAGGGGATGCCTTGCCAAGGCAGCGCAGAGCTCACAGCAACATGCAGCTTCCCCACACGGCTTCTCTGTGCCCTGAAGCTCTGGGTTACACCTGCTGGGCTGTGGAGACCCTGAGGGAGGACAACAGGGTGGGAACTGGAGCCCGCAGTGGGCAGCCTGTGCCCACCCCTGCCCTGCACTGCACACAGATTGTGGGGGCACGGATCCCCACTGCCCCCACAGGAGCGCATGCAGCAGTGCGGAGCTGGTCCCGTCCCCAGCCTGAGCCTACAGCAGGCAGGCAGGCAGCTAGGGGTGGAGCCAGGTTCTGCTCTGCTGCAGCAGCTGCCACATCCTGCCCGGGGGCAGGAGGCTGTAGACCCAGGTCCCTGGCCCTGTAGCCTTGGCAGCTGGGGCCATCTCTGGCAGGCTTGGGGGGGCAGGGACGGGGGAGTAAAAGGCATGAGCCCAGAGGGCTAAGGGGGAGTGAGAGGCAACAACAGGGCTGGGAGGGGCACCAGTAGGGCTGGGGGAGAGTGAGGGGCTTTTCATTTTACTCACGAATTTTGGGGGGTTCAATCGGAGAATTTGCAGCTTTTTATCAGGGAAAACCAGGATCCATGGTTATAAACAAGGGAGGAAGGAGGGGGACCTATAGAGGAGGAAGTGGTAAACCTCTGTCCCAAATCAAAAGTACCATTCAAACCAGTGCAACCACTCAATTCCAGACATCAAGGTTCGATTTCAAAATATTTTCTTTCTTACAGGTTTTAATCAGTAAATACATACTTGACATGGAAAATTGCTAGGGCTTTAGCAGTAGTACTATGAGATGAGCTATTATGAAGCCAAAAGGCGTGAACAAGGACTTGAATGCCTGCACCGTATGAGAGTCAGTCAGAAAATAATGCTGCCTAATTTTGTCCAAGGACATGGAAGGTGTTCTTATTGGCTTTGTTCCTAAGTGCTCTACAGAAAACTGAGATAAAGATCCTAAAGAAACTGAAACCTCGTATGCAAAGAGCTGGTCCCAATACAGAAATCTCTGAAGTGTTGTTTCTGTGTGATAATATTCACCTATGTAGCAGCTTGTGTGCCAAAAATATAATCTCATTGTTTGAAAAGACTGTGCAGCCCCATCCTCTGTACAGACTGAACAATTAAGTCAGATTATAAGGGTTACAGCAATTATGAAGGCTCTGTGACAGTGGCTGCACATCAACTGCAGGATTTTTACAATGTCAGGGTACATACCCATGCTCACAAACAGTAAAAGGCCACTGATGGAGAAAGAGACTATACTGAAAAAATTGCTGCATTCAGCGATGATGTACACACTTTCTGTAAAAGCTTAGTATTTTTTTAAATATTATTTGGAGGAGAAAAGAATATACTAGTTTCTGAAAGAGTCTCTCTCCTAATTCAGACCAGTTACAAACATTTTCAAAAATAATTGTGGTTATACTTTATTAAAAATAAATAAATACATTTTGGCTTAATTACTTCTGTTTTCAAGGAAAAACATTCTGTTTACTTCGCTGATGGGAATATCCCTCAACGCAGGAATTGCTTCTTCTTGATATTTCTTCTGTTGCTGATTTTTTGCATAGTTATCTGCAGGAAAATTAAAAAGATACTTCCCTATTAACACAGATGCTATGTAATCTTTTACTTTGTGTGTTTACATACTGTAAGCGTTACTAGAAACTCCAACCCTTTGTCAAAAAAGCATACTGAACTAATACTTCTGTACATCCAAATCATAATGCAGGACTTCACGACATTTAATAAATGAAGTAAAATTACAGATAATTCAGATTCCATGTCCTTCTAGTTCAATAAAATGAACGTAGTTTGCAGGCAACAATATTTTAGCTAAAGGAGGAATTAACATTCTACTCCCACTAGCACAGCAAGGTTCATAGACTTGATTCAAGACTCGGAGTTAAATTCTGCCTGTGGACTGGTACTGCTGGCCCATTTTATTTTCTTTAGGACTCTGCAGGCGATCAAGCTACTATTCTAGTCATTATCTTTAATGTAAAGCCTACACCTCTCTATTTCCACTGCACTGTAATCTGAGCTCAAGTCACATCAGTGAAATATTCCTTAAATAATACTTTTACAGGTCTGTATTGGGAGCCACAGAATGCGAGTCAAATATTACTGGGACACCTTAAATTGCAATCCCATGCTAAAGCAAATAATTGTGGCCTTCCTCCAAAATGGGCTCCATTAACAAACAGAAGTATTGGCATTCTGAGAAAGACTGGGAAAGTTTGAAAGCAGGCCTGTATTTTTCAACTGACCAAACTGGACAGTCGAACAGTACAGTACACAGAAAAGAGAACAGCAAATGCTTGAGCAAGACATCTGTTTTCAAGACAACGAACTTAGAGAAGAACAAAAATAGTTACACAGTACTTTACTTACTACATATTTTTTTTATATATATAGTTTAATCATTACATATTTTATAAGAAGTATTTTTAAGAGCAAATCTTATACACCAAAAATTACACTTCAGGGAAATTAAAGACTTAATTTCCTTACTTTAGGTGTACCAACAAACGTGCTTACAGTTTGGGGTTTTTTTAATGTTTTGGTAAGAGACAGGAAATTATTACCTGTAATGGTATGTGTTGAGTTGAGTGGAGCAGTGCTCATCATGTTAATACCAAAAAGTAGAACATAAGCAATTCCTATAGTAACGAGGAGGTATACCGGCAAAGCAACGGCCCAGTACCTGCAGAATAAGATGCATTTCAAAGCTATAAATCAGGAAAAAAAGTTGGATAAAAAAAATAATTTCCAGAAAAAAAAAAAAAAATTAAGCAAAAGTGTAACAAGAAGAGCTTTCAGAACTTAAGTGAGAACTTTAAACATACCAAAAAGATCACACAGTCTCATTTACTTACTACCCACTAGTGGCCAATTACAACTGCAATAATCATGGTTTAAACCACAAGATTACTTCACTAAAAACATAGTGAAATAGCCATGTATTCACTTTAACTCACTGATAATTTTTCAAAGCAAATTACTATTTGTGGAGGATATTTTTTTGCAAAAGTACTCCAGTTGTCTGTCAGAGGAACAACAGTAAGTCTTCTTTTTCAAACTGGATGAAATGCAAGACCTATTATGCTACATAAATAGCACTGGTACATTTCTAGTTTTGTTATTTGAAAAAAAGGTTCAAAGACTCTCATAATATTGATACAAGGATAGTTTTATAAACTAAATGATTTGAACCTACTTTTGAGGCCAGTATGTTAGTCCCAATGAGAATAACCAGGATTCAGGAACATATGCCCAAATAAGGTATAGCACTGTGCAGAAAAAGTGAAGTTAGAACTCTTTTTTATTCTGAAATAATGTTAACTTTAACATTGTGAACAAAATACTAAGTCAGCACTTACAGTACTGTCATTATAAATCACTCAAATAAATGACAACTTGTTCTACAGCAGTTGTTCCCATAAGGCCTTACTAGACCATAAGTGCCAAACTGGATTAGTCCAATGACTCATATCTTGCCTCTGATGGATAAAGGAGTGGATGCTTTAGAGGGATAAATCTAAGGCTGAAACAGGTATGTCTAGAGCAGGGGTGGGCAAAATGGTGGATCCAGCCAATGGCTGGATTTCCCAGCACACTGTGGCCTGTTTCCATGGAGACCCCAGCAGCTGTGGGCCTGTGACAAGGACCAGGGTTTCCATGGAGACTGGCCCCAGTAGTGCTGGCAGGGTGTGCGGCAGGATGGGGAATGCCATTACAGGATCCTGTGGCAGCAACAGTATGGTCTGGAGGTGGGCAGAATTGTGATCCACTTGGTGTTCAGCGTTTTGCCCGGCCTAGTCTGGAGTGACAGATATCCTATCCCTGGCACCTACCATCATTGGTTTAGAGATGCCAAAGGATACATCTCCAATTGCTCTCTTTAATAATGATTTTATCACCCACAAATCTGACTATTCCTTTTGAGCCTTGCTAGCCTCCAACCAGCATGTCCAAAATATCAGGGAGAAGGACAACCCCACAAACTGTATCATGCACACAACTCTTGGTAGAAGGCAGGGCAGCACCTCAGAGACTAACCAGGGCTTTCAAGGGCAACAGTTTATTTTGGCAGATGCTATGAAGTAGCCCATCAGTTCTCAACCTTTTTTAGACTCGAGACACCCTCCCCCGCATCCATTTAGACTCAAGGCACCCGTTGGAAAATGTCAACACTGAGCTTTTGCTCCTTTCTTAACTACAGAAAGACAACTGAGCAAGTCTTCTCCTGCAGAGAGCTCAGAAAGCCCACAGCAAGGCAGAATGATTTTAAATGCATGGATTACTGTCTGAAGGCACTGGGTTTATCTTGGTAATCATGTGCATGCACCAATGTCACCCTTGCGTGACACTCCAGCAGCATCCCTAAAGGGATCACAGATAACTACTCGAGTAACATCTCACAGGTCTCCAAATTAGTCTTTAAAGCTAAAAAAAAGAGACAACCAGCTTGATTCATAGAATCATAGAAAATTAGGGCTGGAAGGGACAAGAGATCATCTAGTCCAACCCCCTTGCTCACAGCAGGACCATCCCCAAATAGATCATCTCAGCCAAAGCTTTGTCTAGCCAGGTCTTACAAACCTCCAAGGATGGAGCTTCCACCACCTCTCTGGGTAACCTGTTCCAATGTTTTATTACCCTCCTTGTGAGAAAGTTTGTCCTAATATCAAACCTAAACATCCCTTGTTGAAATTTGAGACTGTTGCTCCTTGTTCTGTCATCTGTCACCACTGAGAACAGTCTAGCTCCATCCTCTTTCAAACCTCCCTTCAGGTAGTTGAAGGCTGCTATCAAATCTCCCTCAGTCTTCTCTTCTCCAGACTAAATAAGCCCAACTCCCTCAGCCTCTCCTCAGAAGTCCCATGCTCCAATGTCTAACCCATTTTTGTTGCCCTCTGCTGGACTCTCTCAAACATATCCACCTACTTTCTGAAGCAGGGGCCCAAAACTGGATGCAGGACTCCAGATGTGGCTTCCCCAGTGCTGGCCCAGGTTTGCCTGACCTACCCAACACCAAACCCCAGCAGCAGAAGAACAAGGTCCTGGTCATGCATAAAGTGTAAAGGCAGGTCCAAGGCACCACTCTGCACCAGGGCACCCCAGGCTGGCTTAAGGCAGGCAGTCTGGCAGGGTGAGTAGCGATTGCAGTGGCAGAGACCCTCCTCCCTCTCGGCTGAAGGAACAGGGAGGGAGAGGTGGCTGAAACAGGGGCCACAGACTAGACCCAGCTGGGCTTGCACCAGGCCGGGCCAAGCAAAGCTTGGGGTTGCCCTGGGCAGCATTGCCAGATCCTAAATAGTAAATGACTGTATTTGCTGAAAAACTATTGTACAGTGACAAATATGCAAATAAGCATGCAAATAAGCCTTCTTCTTTACTTCATACTGATCAGTGAGTCAGCAGTGAGTCAAAAGCTGAAGCATTTCTTCATTGCAAGGTGAGCCATCCTAACGAAGTGTTGACAGTAAACCCAAGTGTTGACAGTAAACCCAAACGTCACTTACGATTCCCCGACAGTAACATGGGTTTTGCATCTCCTGCATCCATCCGCTACCTCAAAAACGATCGGACATTCTGAACATGCTTATTACCATTACTGAGCGCACATCGTACAAGGGTTGCGATTATCGGACAAACCGGATAATTATCGTGCACCCGGCAACGCCGGCCCTGCGGGACCAGCTCCAGCCGCCCAGCCCTCGCCTCCCCGCGGCACCTACTGAAGCCGAACTGGGCGGCGAGGAAGAGCACGAAGCCGTACAGCGCGCGCTCGGGCAGCGGCGACGGCGAGTTCTCCACCATGGCGGCTCGGCCCGCCTCCGCGCGGGCGAGTAACGTCACCACCTCGGGACAGAGCCAGCCCACTGAGGAGGCAGGGTTGGGAAGGCCGCTGCACAGACGCCGCCCCGAGTCCAATCGGCTGGTAACATCGGCTACGTCACCCCTATCCGTTATGCCCCGCCTATAAGCGTCCAGCCACTGCCTGTTCTCTGTCCTACGGAAGAACCGCGAAGTGCCACCGCAACCTGCGCATGCGCAAGAGAACCGACCCTTTTTCGCCGCTTCCTCTCGCGCGAACAACCACGGCTGGCCCTTTGCGTAGGCGCGTGAAACACAGCACAACACAGCGCAGGCCAGCCCCGTCCCTCTGCAGCCCGGGGGCGCTGAGAGGACTGACGATTCACGTTCCTGACGTCAGAAGCCGGGCAGCCAATAGGGTGGCGTGAAGGGGTCCGCTTTGGTGGGGCGGAGTTGTGGTGTTGTGCTGCGCTGCTGGGGCCCCCCCTCACGGCGGCGGTGGCTGGAAGTGGCGGTGCAGCGGCCGCTGGGAGCTTCGGCCTCGAGCCGGTAAGTAGGGGTCGCGTGGGTGGCAGTTTGCTATTCCCTGTCTCTCTCCCTCCCCCCATGTGGTGTTGGCCTCGCGCGGGGCCGGGGCCGGGGCTGAAGTGGGGTCTGGCTACAGCCCCCACGCCCCGTGGCTGGGGGGGGAACCCATTTGCCACGTGGATGAAGGCAGGTAGGGGCTGCTCGGGCCAGGCGGAGGCTCCGAGGTCCTGGGGTCTCGGGTGCTTCCGCAGGCCTTGGCGTGAAAGCTGGTTGGAAACTTCTAGTCATTAGACTTCTCCAAACCCGATTTGGGGAGTGGGTCTGGTGCTTTCAAGGTGCGATGGGTGGCTTCGCCTGTGTGGCCGGTCTGGATTATACAGTTCCCCCGAGACTTGCATGAGGGGTGTACAATGCTGGTTAAAGAGCAGTTGGTGGTGGGAGTGATTGCAGGCTGCAGCTGTTTGTGGTTAGTGGAGGCAGCTGC